TAAATTATCTTCAAATCCGAAAGTATTTCTTTCACAGAAAAATAACAGAGATTCACAAACAAACAGGATATGGAAGATTCACAAATAAATAGGATGTTGAAATTAGGAGAATTTTTGTGACTACTCATCTGCACTGGATTAAACAACAAACCTACACAACAAATATACAAGTTATAAAGAAACACAGGGATAATATTTATAAAGGCAAACAAACATAGAGATAATTATATTGGCAATGGATGTTTGGCTGATTCATATTTGATTTTGCTCCACACTGTGTTAAATTGTTCAGAACTAAATATTGTCATACACAATTATAATATAAACTGAAAAATCAAGACACAATTAACTGGTATGAGGTGGCATGTTCTAAAATATAATACAAAAATATAAAATTGCCAAACAAATTTAAAATGTAGAATGTAATACTTATTGGACAGCATCAAGTCGATCCATATACTCATGAACAAAATCTTGGAAGAAGTCTATAGGGAAAAAGTAATACAGAGTTTACTTGAAAATGAAAAACACTAAGTTCTTCCCAAATTTTGAGGTAATAAAATAATACCTGACCAATAATACTTGATTTGAAATTATTTTACTTCAAAAAAAGATAAAAAGACTTTCCAAAATGAAAGGTGAGAGTGTTCATCATGACTAGCACTGTCCTACAAAAAATGCTACATGGTGGCGAGGCACAGTGGCTCATGCCTATCATCTGACAGTTTTAGGAGGCCCAGGCAGTCACATCACTTGGGACCAGGAGTTCAAGAACATCCTGAGGAACATGGTGAGACTTTGCATATAAAAACGAAGAAATGCTACAATGAGTCCATTATATTGAAAAATAAAATTCTGCACAGCATCATATGACTATGTAAATATAAAGCTCTCTATTAAATGTAAATATACAGACACACATAGAATCCTTTACTATTACAATGATGGTGCATAAAATCCCTAAATTTCTTCCATAGAATATGAAAAACAAAATATAAATCTGCATAAATCTGTTATTAAATTTGTAATATTAATAACAAAAATGTAGAGGTATAGTATTTGTATTCAGTTGAAGTTGTTATGAGATTAAAATATATTGTTTTAACTTTAAGATGTTTTATGTAATCTTCATTTTTCAAGATGATTATGAAGATAATATTTATAGAAAGTATGCTAAACAAATAGAAAAATAATCAAAGCATATCACTATAAAATTAAACAAAATTTAAAGTGGTAAAATAGGAAATGAGAAAAAACATATCTATAAGAGCACATAAAACAATAATAATAAAACTGGTAACAGAAACATTTCTTTAAGCAATTATTTTAAATACAAATTAATTAAACTATTTAATTTTTAAAAATGTAATCCCAGGACTTTGGGAGGCCAAGGTGGACCGATCACTTAATCTCAGAAGGTCAAAACCAGAGTGGGCAACATGGCAAAACTGTGTCTCTACAAAAAATACAAAAAAACGAGTTGGATGTGATGTCACATACTTGTATCCCAGCTACCCGAGAGGCTGAAATGAGAGGTCATATGAGTTTGGGAGGTTGAAGCCGCTGTGAGCCATGATCAAACCATTGCAAACCAGCCTGGTTGACAGAGTGAGAACCTATCTCAAAAATAAAAAAGTAAGTAAATTATATTTAAAAAATTAAATGCCTAATTGGCTTAAGAAAAACAGCATATAATACGCTGCATACAAGAGATTCATTTTAGCATTTAGTTAAATAGGCTAAAAGTAACAGAATGAAAAAATTCCATATTCCATGCAAATAGTAACAATTGGGTGAGGTCGTCATAATTACAGTAGACATAATATGTCCTAAGTACTAGCATGAGACAAAGACTGATATTATATAATGGTAAAATGGGTCAATTAAACTGGTATCTATCCATATGTGTATGTGTGTATATATATGTATACATACAGATATATGTATATATAACATATATATGCATACATATATATATCTATATAGGGCTGGGCATGGTGGCTCATGCCTTTAATCCCAGAACTTTGGGAGGCCTAGGCAGGTGGATGATGAGGTCAGGAGTTCAAGACTATCCTGGCTAACATGGTGAAACCCCGACTCTACTAAAAATACAAAAATTAGCCGGACATGGTGGCACGTGCCTTGCAATCCCAGCAACTCAGGAGACTGAGGTGGAAGAATCGTTTGAACCTGGAAGACGGAGGTTGCAGTGAGCTGAGATCGTGCCACTGTACTCCAACCTGGGCAACAAAGTAAGACTCCATCTCAAAAAAAAAAAAAAAAAAATCTATATAGATATATAATTAATATAGTATTTAATAAAATACTTATCCAGCTATATGTATATGTATATATAACATCAGGGCTCCAAAATATATAAAGCAAATATCAACAAATTGAAGCAGGAAATACATAGCAACATAATTGTTGACATCAAGATCCCATTTTCAATAATAAATAGAAAATTCAGATAAAATAGCAATAATAAAACACAGAACTTACAAAACATTATAGACTGTATTAATTATTTTGAATACACAGGAAGCCCAAGAGTAGATAATTTATTAAAAAAAAAAAAAAGATTTGGTTCACAGTTTGGCAGGCTGTACAAGAAGTGTGCACCAACATGTGCTTCTGGTGAGGGTCTCAAAAAGCTTACAATCATGGTAGAAGGCCAAGAGTAACTGGACATACCACATGGTAAAAGACAGCAAGTGTGAGGTGAAGGAGCCAGGTTCTTTTAATGAGCTAGCTCTCTTTTGAATTAATGGAGTGTAAAATTTTGATTACAAAGAGGATGGTGCCAACCCATACACAAGGAATTTTTCCCCACAAACCAAACACCTCCCACTGGTCTTACATCCAACATTGAGAATTACATGGCAGCATGAAGTCCTCATGCCTATAACCCCAACACTTTGGAGGAGTGTTCTCTTCAGAAGGCAGGCTATCATTCCAGTGGCAAACTACAGGACCCCTGGTCTTAGCTACAGGACAGGAAATGGCCAACCCAACTTGGTCCCACTGAGAATTCTGGATTTACTCTGTGAATTATTTCAAAATCCTTTCAGCCACAGTCTGGGAGAGGTTCTGTCCTTTCATAGGCCTGGAGGAAGACACCCGTTTATAGTCATGCAGGCAGGCCTGCAGACCCTGGCTTTTAATGTGGTGCCTGAAGCAGTTCAAAGTTTCAGTTACAGCTTTCTGGGCCACAGTTTATGGCCAGTTCTCTTTACCTAGAAACCAACACAGTGACCTGAGGAAATCCTCTGTGGTACTCAGCGAAGGCTGTACTCATTTACATCCCGATTTAAGGTACATTATATACAGACCCTACTGCAAAAACCTGCCCTAGTGTCTGCCCTACAGAGCAAAGTCTTGAAGGATATCCAATCTGTCCAAAAATAATATGGGGATTACAACTATCTAAGCCCCTTGTAACAAGCCAACTAAAGGTGGACCCTAGTGCAGACCCAGCAATCTTGTGACCAAGCTACAATCCCTCTCCATCACAAACCCAGAGGGAATCCCATCACCCTGGGGGACCAATGGAAGAAGACCTTTACCTACTGAAACCAGTTTATAGCAACTTGAAGAGGTGTTTGCTCCTTCAAATTCACAGACACCAAATGCAAAATTATATTGTGCACCTTGTCAACGCTTCCATTTTAACATAGCACTGATGTGACAGAATAATTAGTCAAAACAATTTTCAAAAAGCCATTGAAACTGAAGACAAATAAGTAAAAATTTGTTGTTTGTAGATGACATGATCTTATATATAGAAAACCATAAGCAGTGCATTAAAACCTGTCTAAGTTAATAAACTCAGTAAATTAGCAAAATATAAAACTAACGTACAAGTATAAGTTATCATCCCATACACTTAAAACAAACTATCTGATAAAATAGACAAAAAAAAAAATCTTATTTACAATAGCATTAAAACAATAAATTTCTGGCTGGGCACGGTTGCTCACACCTGTAAACCCAGGCTGATGAGGGCGGATCATCTGAGGTCAGGAGTTCGAGACCAGCCTGGCCAACATAGTGAAACCCCATCTCTACTAAAAATACAAAAATTAGCCAGGCATGGTGGTGAGCACCTGTAATGCCTGCTACTTAAAAGGCTGAGGCAGGAGAATCACTTGAACCTGGGACGGGGAGTTTGCAGTGAGCTGAGATTTTGCCATTGCACTTCAGCCTGGGCAAGAAGAGTGAAACTCTGTCTCAAAAAATAAATAAATTTCAGAGAACAAATTTGACCAAGGAGATAAAAAATCTTTACACTGAAAGATATAAGATAGCTAGGAAAAGAAATAGAGAAGACACAAATAAATTTAAAAATGTTTTATGAGTTGAAAGAATAAGATTCAATAAATATAGGTTCAATAAGCTCCCTACAAAAATTCCAGAGGTAAGTTTTTTTTACAGTAATAGAAAATACAAGACTAAAGATTACATGAAACTACAATAAACTTTGAATAGCCAAAGCGATCTGGAGGAAAAAAAACAAAGCAGAACGACATCATATTTTATAATTACAAATTATCTTTCAATAACATACTAAAAAAAGATGAAATGTACAGAAAAATTAAAAAATTCAGTGGAACAGAAACCACTATTTCAGACATGATGCAAAAAGAGAACTTAAGAAAAAGCTTAACATAGAATTTTTTAAAATTACGCAGATATTTGTGTGTCCCTAAAAACAATGAAAAAGTAGTCAGACTGTGCAGTCTCTTATATGCCATGAGGACTTTGGCTCTCACTGTAAACTTGAAGAAAAATGACTGAAAGTAGAATCTTTAGAGAATTTAAAAGCATAAGACAGAAAATGCCCCTATGTGAGAACAAAGAAAAAAAAAAAAAAAACAAGCCTCAGACTTCCAGAAACTATACCCTTTGGAACACAGCTTCCCAAATGACATTTTAAGGACTTGCTTTCTCCTTGACCTTTGGATCTCTCATCTGTTGTATTGGCTTTCACTCTCACCTACCTGGGGGTTTGGCCACCATCTCATGTCTCTTCATATTCCAGGGCTCTTTTCCTTGCTCCAGACAGGTGATCAGGTCTGGCTTAGAGACAGCAATACCTGTTTTATTAAAAATAAGTAATATGCATCTTGTTCATATTCTGCAATTACCAACTTAGTAATGTGCTCAATAAAGAGAATGTTAATACAATATTCTAATATATTTATTCCAAAATACTAATTTATAACAGTTATTTCTAAATATTTAGAAAATACTGTATATTTGTAGGTTCTTAATTCACTACTCAGAACTACTGAATAAAAAAATTGGTGGTAGCAATTAGATTTTAAGGTGTGGGCAATAATATTTTACACCAGTAAATTTCTGAAATTACCACTAATCTAGAGTGAGGGATACAGATCAGCTCAGCAATGTGGAAAGTTCAGCTCAAGATGAAACATCTTGAAGAAATTTTTTTTCTACACTGACAAATCCTTATGATTTTCTTGAAAACAGGGATTTGAAACTCATTTATGCAAAGCATAATTATCAAAAATTACCAACTTATCAAAAAACATTCTACAAAAAAACAAAAAGAAAACAAAAATAAAGCCTTTAGAGTATATTAGGAATTGAGTATTGAAGTTATCCTCACCCAGGAAGACCAGGTTTCTGTAGTTCTCTAACATCACATCCCTATATAAATTCCGCTGTGCAGTGTCCAGGCATTGCCACTCCTCCAGAGAGAATTCTACAGTCACATCCCTAAATGTCAGTGGTCCCTGAAAAACACACAAACACAGACGCATATATATTTACGAAGTGGTCATGGACAGAATTTTTAATGTCACTCAAAGTGTAATTCGAGAGTAGAGAGAACAGGTTCTGCCTTATAGGAGTGACCAAAATTATCCAAGAAAATATTTTTTTAACCCAGAAATATTCTCTAATGTATTCTCCGACTCTAAAAAACACACCCCCATACACATGTACCAAGTGGCCATGGGCAGAATTTTTAATGTGTCTCAAGGTCAAATGAGAGAGTAGAGAACTGATTCTGACTTATAGAAAGTCTGAGTTTCTGCCTTTTTTTTTTTTTTTTAAGTTTCTGAATTTCTAACAAGTTCGCCAGTAATGCCAATGTTTTTGGCCCAAGAAGAATATTTTGTCAAACATCCACTAAGTAAAAGAGCCTGTGTTTTTCCTAGTATTGCTGGACTGTAAAAAAAAGATAAGAGTTTTCACTTGCCAAAGACAGATATATGCAAAGAAAACTTAAGAAAGAGGGGTAGCTACCAGATAAAATGTGATGGTTTATGCACATCAGCTGCATAAAAATAATTTATAATGAAAAGAAAAATAATTAGCTTTGTAGTAAAAAAAATCCGTCGCAGAGCTCCTTAACCAAGTGAATCATTAATATTACTTGCACTAGGACAAATTTTTATGATGTGCTGATGCACAAAAGAAGGACACAGCATCACCACTGTGACATTTTCTCCCAGAAGTAAATTGTAGTCCGAATTTAACCATAAAGAACCATCAGTTTTATACCAAGTTCAAGATACAGGTATCTCCCATGTTGTGTAAGTTTTAATAGTGATTTTTTAGTATTCTTTCTTTAGCACCCTAGAGAGCAGGCATTTTCTCATTTTTTTTTTAAGGATTTTCTGGGTAATAAATGCCATCCTCTTTAAATAAACACTTTCTTAATCCTGTTCTGTATAGAGTTAATGAAGAACACAGATGGAACCTCAATATTACAAGTTTTCTGTCTTTTTTAAGAACTCCTTTATTCTTCCAATAGGAATCTTGAGTATTCACACCTTCCCAGCCACAAAGGGAACATTTTTAATACAGTAGATTATAAATTCATGAAGAGAATTCCGCACGGCATAGAAGGAGTCATGATGTAGAAGGCTCCAGTATATGGGAAAAAACATATTTTTCAGAGACCTTTGACTATTATAAGAATTTTTTAAAGTAGTAAAACAAACTCATTAGGGAGGAAAAACACAAGCAGAGAAGTAAAGCTTTGCATGTAAAAATGCATGGCATTTCAGAAGGCAGAGTGGACACAGCTCTTGATATGAGACATGTTTAGCTGAAAAAAAAAAAAAAGGCATTTTTTTCCTCCTTCTCCTCTGGAATTCCTGCTTAGATGAAATTTTCTGCACCAATTACACTGGCATCTTGAGAATATGCCTTTAAAGGTGTCAGCACCACCCATTTACCTGCTACCACCACACCCACAGGCAGAAGGACCAAGAACTGCAGAAACATTCCATCCATTTCTGTCCTTTATACTAGTAGGGATTCAGGAACAATGAGCTTCTTTATGAAGATAAAAATACAAGTTTTTTCTTTTCTGTCTTCAGATGCCCTCCTCTGCCACAGACACCAGCAATTTCTGCTACAGTAATGGTAATATGGGCCACACTGCCTTGTTTCTCCCAAATCCAAACAGAACAGGCCCTGTGACCATCCTTTAGTGAAAAGGTTTCTACCTTAACTCTCATGAATGCCTTGAACCCTTCATTGTTGATTCTGGCCTCACCTTGGAATTATATGAGGCACTTAATTAAAACAACATATATGTTTCCACCTAAAACAATAAACAAAACCTGTGGGAAAAGCTCAAGTAAGGATTTTTCTGCAAATTGCCCATGTAATCCTAATTAGAGGTCTGGGCTTATAACCACTTAGCTAAGCGTTTAATCTCAAGCTTTTATGAGCTTACAAATCACTTAGTAATTTTGGCCCCACTCTATGTAATGTGATTCTGCAGGTTTGAAAAGGGTCCAAAATGAATGTTTTAAACAAGTCCCCTGTCAATGTTGATGTTACTCCCCCTGGGCTCATGATTAGCATTAGAGAAAGCAGGCATAGCACAGAGTCCCTTACACTCATTACTCTTGTCACAACACAAATACTTCTAGGGCAAATAAAGACAACCACTCTCCATCCTAAAGTATCATATTCTTTGCTGGCTCTGCAGAGTATACAGAGAAAATAGAAAGCAGCCATATCTGAATAAGTCTGTGTTTAAATAACAACATGTACAAGTGTACTACTGATGGAATGTTTATTAAACATTGTGCTTCATGTGCTCAAGAGGATGTTGTAGAGCACTGTGCTGGGAATAACACATTATGTGACTTAATCGTCGTAACACCTTTGGAGTTGGTACTAAGTGTTTAATAATTCCCAGGATTTAGATAAAGGGCACAGCATTTTAATTTTTTTAGTCTCTCTGTCATTAATTTTTTATAAAATATATAGAATAAAAGCTATATAGATAGATGAGAGGGATAAAGGAAAAATTTAATGTAGTTTAGAGGAATTTTTATTGTGTTTATATGTAAATCAGTTCTCTGAGGCAAGACTCCAGGGTGGGGACAGGACTCAGTCAAGTCCCCAAGTAAGAACTGAACAGAACTGGAACAGGGAGTGGAGCCTACGTAGAATTTGTTCTCTATGCCACTGGTGTACTTCCAGTTCTGTTTCCTAAGCTTACCTAAGAAAAACTTAAATCTCACAGTTTATGTAACTTTAATCTTTTTTAGCTACTGCCCTGTCAATTTCATAATATATACTAATAATCCATTTAATCAAATCTCTTGTTTATCTAGAATAATTTTACTAGAAGATAAATATGTATTCTTAGCAAAATAAAAGAAATAAAAATAATAACAATTCTTCTGTCCATAAACATCCCTTCAGGTGATGACATCAGAAGTCACAGCAATATCATTTATTTTTTATTTGTGTTACTTACGGCCCAAATAAACCCCAAGTTTCTTTGCACAAATCTACTTATTATATCAACCATATGATGCTTAATTCATTGTTTATCTAGTTGCTAGTCTGGACTAAAAGTTCATGGATGGCAGGGACCATGATTGCTACATCTATTATTCTAATGGCCATATGAGATGGGAGCATTTAGTTTATCTCTTCGAATCTTCAAAACTTCTTTTCCTCCCAAGTACCAGGAATCTGAAGAAACTGTCATCTGGGTACCAACCAAAAATATCTCTTGAATGAGGGAAGGATGACCCATTTCTCTTACACTGAGACAGAAGCAGAGTTAACCACTCTTGTCAGCCTGACACAGTTCTGCTCTGGAAATCCTCAAATGTCTCAAAGACGCCTAGGTGATTCCGAGAGGATTCCCAGTGACCGTGCACTGATGGCCCAATTGTAAGCCAGACAGAAGAGATGTAGGCTGATTCTAAATAGAAAATGGAACTGTCCTGGTAAAGCTCCAGAACCTGGATCACCTGTCCTAATTTGCTAGCTTTTGGGTAAGAGGAAGGATAAAAATGTTCTACTTCAGTATCACATTTTACGAGTAGGTATAGTTGTGGTCATGGCTGTGGATACTTTGTAGCCTTGATCTCTCACTCCTAAGATGCTTATCTTTACTTACAGATTCTGCTATCAGATTCTATGTACACTGGGATCCTCTCATGTAACTGTAGCAGGTCACTGGACAAGACCTGAAAAGCTCAAAGAGCCACACTATCAAAGGGGCACTTTAAGATGTCTATGTTGACATCTCACAATGCAGAAAATTCCTCCTGTTGGTTTTCATTACCTTCTTAATCTAAAACCTGGCCCTGTCTTGTGAATCTCAGGCAGGGGTCAGCTCTTATGTGCAGATTCTTGGTCAGATCAAACTGGCTCTACATTCTTGGGTGTTACAGCAAATGGAGTACAATCACAGAGAGATGTTCTCCTAGAGGCTGTTCTAGCACATCCTAAGTAATATGTCTGCCTAAAAAGAAAAATCCAAGGCAACACAGATATAAGTAGACAGTTTATTTGTTCCACCCTTGAGGATTGTAACCTGGGAGCAAAGATTCAAGTTGCCTGGAATCTATATTTTGATTAGCAGCAGTTACAAGTGGATTTGTAAAGGCAAAAAAAAAAAAAAAAAAAAGAGGGACAGAGAGTGCGATGGTACAAAAATGTCTGTTAGTAACAAATGATTTTGGGAGTGAGAGATCAAGGCAACAAAGTATCTAGAATCATAACCACAACTATACCTACCTTTCTTATTTATTTACAGAAATGACATTGACTATGGATTGGATATACATCATTAAGGTTTACAGCTTAAGTTATAGTGTTCAGTGTCGCATTATTAGTTAAATTGATAGCTACTTGTGGCAATTGTGAATAGCTTCAAGCGATGAACACACAGCTCAAAGTGGGGAAAAAGACATAAGTGTGTGTGTATTTTTGTTTTGTTTTGTTTTGAGATAGAGTCTCACTCTGTCGCCCAGGCTGGAGTGCAGTGGCATGATCTCAGGTCACTGCAACCTTTGCCTCCCAGGTTCAAGCATTTCTCTGCCTCAGACTCCCAAGTAGCTGGGATTACAGGCACCCACCACCACGCCCGGCTAATTTTTGCATTTTTAGTAGAGATGGGGTTTCACCATGTTGGCCAGGCTGGTCTTGAACTCCTGACCTCGTGATCACCTGCCTCAGCCTCCCAAAGTGCTGGGATTACAGGTGTTAGCCACCACACCCAGCCTGGGCTCTCATTTTAATGTCTCTCTGAGTCTGACAACTAAAATGACTTGTATTCCTCAGATAAAAATCTTTTTGTTTTCCAAATCTTAAGACCTAGATTCAGAATTTGGAGCTGCAGATTTAGGCTCTGGATGGGTGGAGTAGCAGCAGGTATTACCTGCATATCTGTGGACATTTTAGCAAGAGGAGATAGAAGTGGAGATTCTCATGTCTAGATGTCTACTCACTGCACACATATTAC